TAAGATTGTTTCCCTTCCACTGAGATGCGACTGAGACCTTTTGGAGTTTGAAGTATTTGTAGTTCTGGAGGCAATTGCAGATACCCTGTTGATTTGGGTTTTTGAATGGGATGTAAAGGGGGAAAGTCTGTTTCTCCCATTAAATTTGGCACAATAGATAGGTGTATGACTCTGGATTTATCTTGTCCTCATTACTGGCTTTCACTGCCATGGGGACTGTCACAGTCTTGCTTATTTCCTAGGGCAAAGAAACCTTTGCCTAAGGATGGCTTCAGATGAGCTCCAAAATAAAACCAAGCTAGTACCTTGTTTCATATCAAGGCTTTGAGGTTTGAGAAAGCGTAGGGTTGCTTTGTATCTCCAGTGCTGGCTTCACTGAAGAGATGGGAATGTTGCAGACGAATCAGCTGATCACAGTGGTTTGGATAAAAGCTCCTCCTTTTGGGTCTTTGTCCAAACTGTCTTTGATCATGACCTGTCACTCGCACCCGTGCCGGTGGAATTTTTTTTTCCAGTGGTTAATTGTAGTTGCTCTTTTAAAACAACTGCTAATCCTTCTCCAAATAGAAATTTGTTTGGGTTTGGGTATTGAGTCTTGCTGTGCTTTCATACTCTGGACTAGTCATCTTTAAATATTACATTTTGTCCTCTTCATGGATGTGCTTGAGAAGGCCTGAATCATCTTGCTGCTCTTTTTCATAAATGAAGCAGTTCAAGCTTTTAAAGCCCTTGTTAAGTGTGAAGTATTTTTGCTATCTCTTGAACATTCATGTCTTCCTCTCACATCCAGTCCTGAAAATGATGTGGACAGCCAAGCAGCTTGCAGAATTGCATCCTTGGCAGAACCAGCTGACCCTAAAGTCATTCCTCTGAGTGCTTGAAGAACACTGTGGCTCTGCCAGCCAGGGCATGGAAAGAGCTCCTTGAGTGCTTGGATCCCCCAGCCTGCCAGAATGGCTGGTTTTGGGATGCTCTCCTCTGCAGTTCTGGTCCACAAACCTTTTTTGAGTGTGTTTGGAGCAGGGTCATGAAAACAGATTTCTAGCAAACAAGCCCAAATTACCAAGTGCTTCACCTGGCTGCTTGGTCCTCCTCGTTATTTGCCGTGCTGTCACTGAGTTTGTACTGACAGCAATTTTACATTGCACGAGGGTGTCCCCCTGACCATGGTCGGTGGCCTTGGGACCTGCTGGGCAGCTGGGTCCTCGCCTAAGTGCGCTTCGTTGATGTCGTACAGTACTAAATTTTTAATCAGAAAGTCATGCAGTGATAAGTCTAATGCCTTGCAAAAGTCTGTTATTCCTTCACAGTTACCTTTATCTGCCAAAATTATAATCTCATCAAAGAATAAAATCAGGTTTGTTTGACAAGGCCTATTTTCCATAAAAATGTGTTGACTTGCATTAATTATGTTCCTATCATTTAATTCTTTATTAATGCAATATTGTATCAGCTTTTCCCCTTATTTCCACCATGATTGATGTCACGCCAACCAGCCAGTAATTGCCTGGGTTCCTCTGCTTGCCAGGCTGTGCCACTGTATTCACCCTCTGGTCTGCCAGAGCTTCCCTCATCTTCCCACACTGATGAAATTTGGGCATTTGTTCTCCTCGGCCAGATGATTTGGGGTCATGAAGTGCTCTTGCACTGCCAAAGATGGCTCACACAGAGGATGTTCCCTCCCCATCCTTGAGGCCAGATGGCCAAGGTGATCTCCCATCCTTATCTCTGCCCACCAGCTTCTTTCCTCCTATTTTCTCCACCATCCTGCTGAGGGGACTGAGAGCAGCTGGGTGGGCGACAAGCAGCCAGTCGTGGTCAACCAGCTACAGCAGACTTTGAGTGTTCTCAGAGGTGTCATGGAAAGGCCCAAAATGATTCGAGGAGGTTCTTATGGGGCTGAAATGAAGCTCCAAGGGTGGTGGCCATCCCTTGCTTTTGGAGCAGTAGAAGTCATCCCGCTCCAGGAGCAGTGTGGAGATCGGAGAGAGGACACATGGCCTCCACACAGCAACTTCAGAGCGGTCTGGGTTGCCTCTTGAGTGCCATTAGGAAGAGACATTTACAGCCATGTGCCCATGAGGGGTGGTTGAGCAAGGCCTCTGTTGTCTGAGGTATTCAGGATGCTGCAGAAAATGGTTTCAAATATGATTTGGCAGAAGGTAGTGATGGATTTGTCCCAGTGCCTCTCATGCTCTCTAGTGCATGGACTTCAAGTATGCCAGAAAGACCTTGCTATTGTATTTAAAACAAACCTCAGGTCCGTGGCTGGCTCCAGGTGCTACCGAATCCCTGAGCCTCGAGGCACCTGTAGGCATTGTGTCCATGCTCTGGGCCTTGCGATGTTTGCTTTTAACCTGGAAATGTTGTTGTATCTGTTGGTGGTGCCCCTCAGCAGGGGAGAGTGGGAGGGAGGCTGGTAGGCCCTTACCCAGAAGAGGTATGGGTTCCTCCACTATCTCTAGTGCACGAGATGGCCGTGCTTCTGCTGAACTTATGTGGCTTTCTCTTTTGATAAGGGTGAGGGAGGAGAAGAGCTGTGGTTTGATTTATCTGCGCTAGAGAGAACAGTAAGACCATGCACAGCTTGATTCCCCTTGCTGCTTGAGGCATTGTAGCACCATGGGAAAATAGTTTAGGGATGCCTTAAGGAAGGCAGAAGATCTGTGTTTCCTGACATGCTGAGTATTTTCGGGATTTCCTCCTTTCTGTTTTGCTTATGATTTCTTTCGTCTCTGTCTCTCTCAGGTTCCTCAGTGACTCAGCTGCTGGCCCGGGACCTGGACAATGATCCACTGGTCTTCGGTGTGGTTGGGGAGGAGGCCAGCCGGTTCTTTGCAGTGGAGAGTGTGACTGGTGTTGTCTGGCTCAGGCAGCCCTTGGACAGAGAGGTAATGCCTCTTGGTGCTGAGAACATCCTCTGCTGAGGGGAGGGATAAAGCATTTCTACTTGCATAAATGGTGGCTGCCCACCTTCTGTGGCAGCTGAGATGCAACCTGGGTGTTGCTCCCACACAGAGTTGGGAGTCCAGGTGTGTCCCCAGCAGGATCTGTCCCTAGCCACCCTGTTACTGTCCCCAGCTCAGTGGGGACATGGGGAATAAGCAGGCTGCTTTAGTTCGATTTGGCTTGTTGGTTTTCCTGGATCCCAGAATAGTATCTGTGAGTCTGGAAGGAAAGAAAATAATGGAAATGATCTACCAAAGAGTCAGGATGGTCACATTTTTTTCAGGGAAAACTACAGGTTCCCTCTTTAAACTTATATTCTGATTAAATCCTATTTAAAACAGCGTGTGAAGAGGCATGAGGTATACCTGCTTATTCAATCTCATCTTGTGGATTCAGGCTGCTGGATGCTAAATTTGGCAAGATTATTGCCTTGAAGCTGTTTCACACCCCTATTTTCAATGGTAGCTTTGGTCTGCAAAGATGATATCGCATCCCGGTGCCTGTTGTACAAAAGCCCTGGCCCTTGCTGTGTTTCCTGAGCAAGGAGGAAGGGATAGCACAGGTGGTGGGACAGGAGCTCAGTAAGACTGGGAAAACACTATTTGACTTGGGCAATATGTTTAATTTTTCCTGTGCTTCTGTTGCCTGTGTTTAATACTTCCTTTGCCAGCGGCAGCATTGTGAAGATAAAACCCATTAACACATCTCAGATGCTGCGACAGCAGTCCTGGTCGGAGCCAGGCAGATGTGGGGATGCAGAGGAGCAGGGTGGTGGATGCTGATCAGGATGGGGAAGGGCAAACGCAATTTCATAGCATTAAGAGCAAGGCTCTGGAAAAATAAAGTGTTTTTCTTCATCTCTCTCCCCTTCGCCTCACGGTGCCAACAGCTGCTGGCATGAGTCATAAATCTTCTCTTATTCAAATGCCTACTGCTTCCCAATACTTATGGTACCAGCCTTAAGCCAAGGAGGGCAATCAATAGATTTTAGGTGTCTTTTGGTGGAGGGTGGGAAGGGAAGGAGTTGAGCAGAGCTTGCATGCACGGCTGGACTGAACTGGGAGGGGCTCAAAGTCAGCAACACCTGGAAAAGGGTGAAGAGAGACACGTGCATAGTTTGGTATGGATAAGAGAAAGGTGTAAATGACAACTTATGGTGGAGGAAGCAGGATGGTGTGGGAGGAAAGAGATGAGGTAGACAATGTGCTGGGAGCAGAGAATGCTGTCCTGGATGCATGCAATAAAGTTAGGGGAGAGAAAGCCATACAAGAAAAGTCAAGGGGAAAGAAAAGCAAGAGGTCAATTCTTGTACAGTGGAGGAGAAAGAGACTTGAAAAGGGAGAGGGAGTCATAGTAAGGTAAATGATGCAGGAAAAGGGAAAACAGAGGAAAAAGACGAAGGAGCAAACGTATAGAGGCAAAACAAATTTAAAAAGTTGGTTTACTCCCACAAAGATTAGAAGTGAAAGTTTTTTATAAAAAGAAAAAACCAGACCCCAAGTCTAGAAAAAGTGTGTGCTAAAATGGAGGGTGGAGACAGAAGTTAACATGTGACAGCTTTCTCTGATTATTTCATCGTGCTTTTAAAATTTAAATGCTCAACAGGTTGTCTCGTCTCCTATTTTCCCTACTGCTTTGTCCCTCACGGTGGCACCAATGAGTAGGGGGCAAACGGGGGTGAAAGCTGCTCATGCAGCAAGGTGGGATGTTGAAAGGAGCAGAGGCTCTCCTCCGCATTGTCACTTCAGCTCTTCCCTCTGCCTGCAAACATTGCCCTGAGGCAGGAGCTAGGAAAGATTTTTCTCAGGTTGGATTCCCTGGCTGTTGAAAGGAGGGGCGCAGATGTGGGGGCAGGAGGGATGCATGCTCTGAGAAGCTGTTCCCCAAACCCTTCTCCAAGATGAACTGCTACCCTGGTGCAAATGGAGCTCCTGGTCTGGGCACCAGCAGCTGCTGCCTGTCCCAAAGCTGATCTCATTAGGAATAAATCAACCAAATCTGCAGCATAGAGAGCCATTTCAAGCTTGCTTTTCAGCCTTTCCTGCACAATGCTTTGGAGACTTCAAGTTGTTGTGGTCTAGCAGCTCAGGCAGGGCAGGGACACTGGGGGTGGGAAGGCATGCTGAGGAGGAAGGAATTGCTGGGACTGTGAGAACCAAAACACCAGGTGGAGCCCAGGTACTAGATAGGTGCAGTGGTCCAAGTCCTTCTGTCCATCCCTGTGCAATTACTTGGTAAAACATGAACAAAATGATCACTGGTGGAAAAGAAAGGTCAGGGAGAGGTCTGCCTCCACTAGCAATATCGTCCTGCCCTGACACCAAAAGAATCCCGTCTTCCCAATTGTTGCTCACCCCAGTACCAGTGACTTCAATACATTGCCATTTAAGACGAAGCTATTAATTTAGTTAAAGCAAAAAGAGGCAGGGAGGACTGCACAGGCACTTTTTGGAATGGGCTTACGAGATTTCAGCCGTTCTTACTACAGCCCCTGGGCTTATCCCAGTGTTTCCAGCTATGTGATATCCCAAGAACTGCTGCATGGCAGGTAAGTTGGGAATGCAGTAGCCAGATTTAGATGTCCTCAGTGAGACTGTGTTGTATTGTCATTTTGAACAAAAGCGAATTACACAGCTTGTTCTTTGGACTTTCTTCTCTTTCTGCATCGTCCATGTATCTTGCAGTTGGAGATGGTGCCAGATCACAGTACACCACGGGTGTAAAACTGCTTTTCTCTGCCTTGCACTTACTCCCTCTTGCTGCTACAAATGTGCAGCCTGCAGCATTGGGGATGGGGCAGGTGTACAAAGAGAGCTGGAGCTTGCTGGCACACCGCAGCAGGTTGAACAGTGGGCTCCTCTCATCTACTTTAGCCTAGTTGTCTGTTTAAAGTGCTTGGCTGCTAGTTGAGGAGTTGGTTGCTTAGTCCCTGCATCCCCCTGACCCAGGGCAGAGCAGCTTTCCACGCCTGTGAAATACACTGGAGCCCTGCTGGCATTAATATTTCTCAGCATTTTATATTTCATGTAGGTAATTGCACTCAAGCGCCCCTTCTCTTCTTGAAGGTCCTGAAAGCATTTTGCATGTAATAATATTGGCTAAAAGTCCCAAGCCTGCCATCTGCAGATAAACGCTACAGTATCTTTAATTATATGTTTTTCTTCTCCCTCCCTTTCAGACTAAGTCAGAATTCACGGTTGAATTTTCTGTCAGTGACAGCCAAGGGGTAAGTGTGACTTCTCATTTCATGGTCTATGGCATGGACAGAGAAGGATGAGTATGGGTTGTGGGGGGGGGACACCTTCTGCATCTCCCTGGGGGAGTCTGGGGAGTGGGGCTACCCCTGGCCGTCGCTTGCCAAAAGCCCAAGTCAGAAAACACAGCCACAAGCTTGCTTTAGGTTTTAAATCCGTGCATAAAGCTGGCACCCTCTCCCTCTTGTTATCGTTGTGACTGCAGGTGATAAAAGGGACAGTCAACATCCAGGTCGGAGACGTGAATGACAACGCCCCACGGTTCCACAACCAGCCCTACAGCGTCCGCATCCCAGAGGTAGGGATCGCTGCAGCCTCTCCACACAGCCTGGCTTCTGGCTCTTCCGTCGGTGGCCATGCTTGCTGTCTGGTTACCACTGCAGAGCTGGCTGCGTGAGGGCCACTGAAGCATGGGACTGTCCTCCTCACCTGGAACCCTCACTGGGGTTAGGTGGGGGTTGAACCTCTGGAAGTTATTGTTGCTTGAAAATGGGCAGAAACAAAGTGTGACTGTGTTTGGGGCACTGGGGGAAGGCAGGTGAAAGAAGAGGTCTGGAGCTCAGCATCTTTGCAGCCTTGGTGATGTCTTTCCCATGACAAATGTGAAGTTTGAAAATAGCTGTAAATGGGAATCTGTTTGTCTTTCTCTTCCTTTGAGACAGAGGGGAATGTACAGCTCTTGTCACAGAGGGGACCTGAGGCAGGAATAAACATTTCCCCAAATGCCTGATTTCTGGCAAAGTCCTGCCCAAAGGCTTCTGCCCTTGCTGGTGGTTTCCTCTAACAGCTTTGTAGTAGGACTTGTCCTGTGATGCCATAGGAATGAAGCAAGTAGGAAGGGACCACAGGAGATAATCTGGCCCAAGCTCCCACTAAAGCAGAGAGAATCTTCAGGTTGCTCAGGGCTTTATCTAGCCAAGTGTTGAATATCTCCAAGGACAGAATTTCCACAATCTGCTGCTGCTCTCTCTCCATGCTGGCCATTTCAAAGGAGGAGACATCTAGTCATACCATCAGGGAGAGCTTTGCAGCTAGAGCTCAGCTTGGCAGAAATACACCAGGAACTTGGAGATCTGATGTGAATTTAGACTTTAAAGACATGGAGTGACAGGTAGTTGCTGGTGCTAGGAGGACAAGGTCAGGATATCGCCTTTGAAATAGGTGATTAGTAGGGCATTTCACATCGTCCAGTGAAGGAAACTTCTTCTTGTACCCTCGTGTCAGGGCAGAGCCCATTTTTTCCCCAAGCCTGCCTCAGGGTGTGGATGAGGTCAAGTGTGCACCTGTGTGTGTGAAGTCAAGCAGTCTTCAGTAATTGAGAGGTACAAATGATTGTGTTACAAAGGTTTATTTAATATGCTGGCTGCTGATGCCCTGCTGTGCTGGGCTTTGATCTTTCCCTGACACTCTGCTGTGAGGATGAAGTTTCTTCATTAAGTTGCTTGTGATGTATGAGCTGGGAGTTTTAGTCTCATCTTTGCGCCAAGTCATCTGAAACCTCCCTTTGAGAATGATACTGGGTCAGAGTAATTTCTTCTCTTTAAAGCACAAATTGTGGAGAAATGATTTGGCAAAACCCATGTGAGCTGCTCCTTGCTCTTGCCTTTCTGCTCGGACCTCTGGAAGGTGGTGGGTGGCTGTCTTGTCTTGCTGCTGCTCCTCCTGGTGATGGTCCGTCTGCAGACATCTGCAAAGCAAAAGGAATGTCAGTAGGACTGAAGGAAAATAGTCTCCTCTCCCCTGCCCTCAGACTTACCTCTGGTTTTGCTGTTTACAGCACCTAATACAGAGGACTCCCTTCTCCATGTGAAGAGAGCGCTAAAAAGTGGGTTGCTGTGTTAAGCCCTGGTGTCTATATACCTGGAGCAGCCATGCCATACCTCCTCTTGCTTGTTGCTTCTTCCCTAAGAGCTGATACTGCGAATTTTAAGCCTTCCACATTTCTGATCTTAACCTGCATCAAGCCTGGGGAGCAGCCAGGGCAAAGGTCCAGTGCTCATTTGGAAAACGAAGGCTGGCCAAAGAAAGCGAACTGTGGGCAGGTGATCTGGACAAAAAAATAAATAAAAGAAGAAGCTGAACCCCAGAGCCTTCCTCTTGCATGTCACACTGCTTGCACGTGAGCCATAGTTCTGCCAGGAGGGATTTCCAGGACCATCTAGTTGTTTGGGGTATTGCAAGCACAGTGCTTATCCAGTGCACCTACTCCGCCACTTGGCCTTCAGAGCTGTGCTTTTCTGGAGGTTGGCCTAATCTAATTATAAGGCGTCATGTGCCAGTTTCCATCTGTGATCTTTAACCAAGGGCACCGATCAGAAGTAATGAGCCACAAACACATTGCTCAGCCAGCATCCTGGAGGCACTTCTGTTCTTCTGCTAGGGAGAGAGCCTTTCCTTGTCAGGTATTGTGAGAGCAGGGGACAGGGTCCTACCACCTAAAAAGGGACCCTCCAAGGGCTGTGGCCCACAGGGGTGTGGCAATGAATTTACTTTGTGTGTGCTAGCACGTCTCTCAAGGCAGAGGTACCCACTTGCTTTGAGATCTTTACAGGGCCGCAGGTTTTCCCTGTTGCTTGTCCACAAGTACTCAAAGCTGGAGGTGATGTGGCATGGAGATGTGCCTTCAGAAGCTGAGGCCCCCAGAGCCACAGGATACCTGGGATGCAGCTGAGACTGGGGAACCAGCCACGATAGGAGATGACAGTGTCCCCAGGTTGCACCCATGCTCTGGCCAGGGTGAGTGGTGAGGGTGGGGGTAGCAAAATCTGTCTCAAAGACTACCAAGCCCAACTGAAGGGCCTATAGCTAATGAATAAACAGGGGCTGGAGCTTGGGTATGGAGAAGAGGCTAACAGAAGTTCTAGTGTGGCTTTGCATAGACTGGTTCTGTGCAGAATTGGCAGCTAATGAGGGTTTTTCTCTTTTTAATTTTGAGATAAATGGATGTATTGATTTTCAGTTGTCCCAGCTAATGGAGCAGCAACAGAAAGGCTATTTAAACCTTGCTGCTATTGTGTGGCACTAGGAAAGTCAAAAGAAGAGTGTGCATAAATAAATGGAACATGAAGTAAACTGACCTTTAAAAACAATACTGCCTCTAAATACTTGTCCTGGCGTTTTACGCAGTCCGCTTGATTTAAGAATGGGAATTTATATGGGCATGGGCTGCAGACTGCAATTCCTCTCTAGTATGGGGCCAGAGGAGAGGATGCCCAGTTTAACTGTGGGCTCCTCCACATCGCAGCAGCTCTGAATACCCAGACTGGGCATCGCTTATCTGCCGGGCTGATGCCACTGGTCCTCTGCACTTGTAGTGTCTTAATTGTATCCCTGGCACCTGCCTGGAATAGCTGAGCAAGGGTCCACGTGTCAGGAGAGGGACGTTGCTCCAGCGTAATCGTCCATCCCGTCTGGGCAAGGGCACCCCGTGATTTGCTTGTCAAAAGGCAACGAAGCGGTGTGGATGCTTTCAAGTCTGTAAAGAAAAGGGGAATCCTGCCAGAATTGGCAACTTAATTCACCAAGCTGGCCTCGACAGAGCTCATTAAGTTCTCGTTTATTCATTTCAGGCTAATGGCTGTCATGCTGACTGCTGTTTGATTTGCTGTAATAGACTTTTATGGCTTTCCAGTTTGCTAGGATGTGTGTGCCTGTGTCTCTGTCCTGTGGTGCTGCTGTAGTACATTAGTTAGCAGCTCATGTGCTTGCTACTCTGACCTTCAGGGTTTGTTCTCCTCTTGGATGCATCCCTTGCACTTCACGTCTTGCATGTGCTCTTTTTTACCCTCCTCATCCTCACCTGGCCCCAGGTTACTATGTTTCTGAGAGTCTCAGGCTTTTAAATGGGAAGAGATGTATTGCAGAGCCCATGGCAGGCTGTTGTGGCGATGCCTCAGTTTCTGACAAGTCTGATCTGTTTTAGCTGATCTATTTTTTTCGTTTGACTGCATCTGTAGGAAACAGTCTTGTTGGATCGTCATGGTTCACTGCTTTCACATGAAGTGAGCAAGTGAGGTGGAGCCGAGCCCCTGTGTTGGTTTTGTGGTACTGGGTGTGGTGTTGGAATGGAGATGGACTGTTCCCTCTGGGTGCCTGCTAGGCTTTCCTGTTCCAGCTTCCAAGCGTGACACCTTGTTGGGCATGCAGCCCTCTATTTGCCTTTGAAGTGAGCAACCTTTAAGCTCATGCTTAAAAAGCATGGTTCTGCAAGCCTCTCTGCTGCATCTGCTGCTTCCAGGTGCTATGCTGTCTACAGGACTGCGTCTTGGGTCCTGCAGAGATTCCTCAAACATTGAGACCATTGTGTGGTGTGGTAACCAAGTCTAGTACCTTCTTGTGAAGATCTATTTTCCCTCATAAGACCCCAACATCGTGAGCTTACTGATCAAGTTCAAACTGTCCATGGCCCTCTCTTGGCCCTGGAGCATCATTGGTCTTCACATGTAGGCAGAAAGGTCACTTAATTGTTGGTTTCATTGCTGAATGTTCCTTCAGGAAGTTTCCAGCGGGTTTTTATCTCCTTTGGTGCTCTCCCCACCTCATTCCTCCTGCTACATTTAACGCACAGAGTGATTTATAAAGTAACATGTGTTATTGGGTTACATCTTCTAGCAAAACAGCCAGGCTCTGGGCCAGAGAATGCCATTTAGCACCCCAGCCATTCACGAGATCGCAGTTGAACCACAAAAATGTATCTGTCACTTGACAGGACATAGTAATTATAATGGAGCTCTCTTTTTTTCAAAAGGCACCCACTGCATCTATAACAACAACAATCCGTGTTGGGTATGTACTTGTCTTGTATTGAGTTCAAGCAAGCATCAGTAAGAGGCAGGTCTGTGGGAAAGGAGTTTAAGAATAGAAAGAAAGTTTCTGGGCAGCACTCAGGATCAGCTAGACAACTACAGTCCAGCTTACAGGTGTCGCATCTCCTGAACTCAGCCCTGATTTACCAATTGATTTTAATCATGAAGCAGGAGACTTACCATCAACAGCAGTCCGTTCTGCTCGGTGAGTAGCCTTTGGGATTGAGCCTTCACAAGCTGCTGGTCACCATTTCAATCCTTAATATGGTGGTGTAGTTGATGTTGGTTTGTTTTAAATTGTGCAGAAAGGTGTTTGGCAGGGGTGGGAAGGGAAAGGAGCGGACCATCTCTGCCTTGTCCCATTATGCAGCCTGGAACCAAACAGTGTTAGATGGTGAGCAGGGGCAGGGAGGATCAGAGAAAGCCCCAAAAGCCCTAGCTGTAATTAAAATTATTATTTTGCTTTAATGGTAATAATGTCGGTAATTACATC